ACCGAGATAAACAAAAAAATAATAAATTGAAGAAAAATAGAAATTTTTGCTTGAAATCAGTTATCAACTACAAATTTCGTTTTTATGCAGCTATGATAAAATGTTGAAATAAGGGTTAAATAAGCTTGAAGATTTATATCGAGATCCCACATAAGTTTTTCTTATTGTAATTGAATATACTACAGCCCCCTCCAACATTTTAGCCCTATTTGCGCCACTGGTCATTAGGTATTCTGTTTATAGAACAATTATATTTTTTTTGAGACAACAGAAATCATAGATAGTATACACTTCACGTAAGACAAAATGTATGCGAAATGTCGGGAAAATAAATTCAATGTAGGCCATAAGTAATTTCATATTAGAAGTTCAAAAGTAATGAACATATAAAAATAAAAGGCACAATTTTATGCAAACATTATCAAATTATTTTGTACTTAAAAATGTATATAATGTTCAGTTTTTATAGCCAAGAACTAAAAGTTCAAAACAAGATCAAAATATTTATAAATAATAAAGTTAAGCATATATACAAAGATTTTTCTGTATTTTATTTTATTATATTTATAAAATTATTAAAACCGATATAATGTTCATCGTAAACGTAGATATAAATTCTTATCTAGTATTGAACTATTAAATGTAAATAATATAATATTATTATTTATAGTGTTATAGTTAACTTTAGATTTTTTTTTTTTTTGCTTTCTATGTTCTCTGACCCGCTAGATTTTTGCACATTCAAAATTGGCCCTCTAGTAGCATTGGGTTGCCTTTGGTATATACAGGGTGGGCCACGGGAATATTGACAAAAGTAGACGGGTTTTTCTCAACGTTGATTGTGAGTAGGAAGGTCTAGATAAGCTCATTCCATCCGTCAAATAATGCCGTTTCGTTGTCATTATGGAGCTGTGGAGTTCGTTCACCGTGTTTTGAGTAGGACGAGTTTGTGAAAACAATGAATCGTTAGTTAAGGTGCAGCGCGCATTCAGACGGTAAGACTCCGTATTCTCGGGAGTTGTTACAGTACGTTTGGGGCATTTGGTTTTTTTTTTATCAACTGTCCCCGACTCCCCGTTCGAAAACTATATAACCTCATAATTGTTTTCCCATTGAGAGCAGCACCGAGACATCCGACTCTGAAGTGAAATCTGAGTGCGCGCTGAACACCTTAACTACCGATTCATTGATTTTCAAAAACGCGTCGTACCCAAACACACAGTGAACTACACTCCACTACGCCACAGTGACAACGAAATGTCATTATCTGATGGATCGAATGAGCTTATCTAGACCTTCCTACTCACATTCCACGTTGAGAAAACCCTGTCTATTTTTTGTCCCTATTCCCGTGGCCCTGTACACTAGTATAGGAAGGGGATGAACGTGAGCTTTTCAGTCGCGGGTGACGTGAGTATTAGCGAGCAGCAGTAATTTCACAAAATACTGAAATTTCCTTCCAGCACGAGCCACACATACTATTTTTTGTAACGCCTCTGCGTTTATCGATCACGGTAGAGGTAACGCACAATGCAACAACCAGGCTATTCTACGAAAACAATTTCATTGAGGTAATAATATGAATATTGCTTGAAATCTAAACTAAATAGTGTACGATGGGTTCTCGAACACGATTCAACTTAAACTAAGTAATAGTATACGATAGAAATGTATAGCTATAGCTTGAATGATAAATACTATAAGTGTGATGCAGTATTATGTACACCGAAAGAGATTTATAAGGCAAAATTACTAGTTGAACATAATCATGTCGGAAATCACACTACATTGGAAGTAGAAAACTTTAAATACAACATATAAAAATCTTGCTAAAATATCTAGCGATAAGCCTTATCAGATTTTTGATTAGGATCTAATGATCGGTGATCGGTGATCTTCCAGATGAAGTTTAATTAATATACAAAACTAAAGTTCTGTTAAACGCGTTTTACAAAAGCAACGTAGCAATATATAAACCCTTCTTAACTTACTTGCTTAGAAGATTTTAAAATTGAAGGTTAATATAGTAGATTATTTGTATAATGTTAAAAGATTGTTGCTTTGTATTATTGATAGGTATAAATTATTCACAAATATTAAATTTAAATTATAATTGTTTATTGTTTATTACTTAGTGCGCTGATTTGTATGCACTAAAAAGTGCAGTCAAAATCGTAAAAATAATATGCAACAAATATGCAAGAAAAAATACTTTAAATTGTTTATATGATATACAATTTTCAATTTAATATTTTATATATGTGTGGCCCAATAATAATTTTAAATATATTAAATAACTTAAAATTATAGGTATCTACTATTAATAAACAAAAAAAAATTGTAATTTATAATTTAATATTAATTAAATTAATAATCAATTAGTGCCTATAAAATGTATTATTACATTTTATGGTTGATAAAATATTATCATACAAAAATATTTTAATTTTTGTCAAATTATGCTGAAATATTCAATAACCATTAAAAAAATCGCCATTAACTTCAAATTATTTGAACACGTAAAGATTAGGTACTGATAAATTATTATTAAACTATACATTTTATTACCAATTAAACTTTTAAGTTAAATTGTATTATACATAAATAGAAAAACTGTATCATGTATCCTATGCAATGTCAATTTTATTTAATTTGTACTTTAGGCCATTGAAAGAAGGAAAGCGGTTTTCGTTATCCGACAACTTGGATTCAAACCATGAACGAGTTATAATTTTCACTGTGGAGAAGCAAGCACTTGGTATTGTGACGGCAATTTTAACTTCAATCTTGATTATTTTTTGAAATTATAATAGGTTATATATGAGTCCGTAAAATGATTTTATTACTGCTGTATATTGTTTATTAGAACATAAGACAACTTCAATTTATGAAACTATGTTTAAAACTATTCTTGAAAAATGTGAACAACAAAATTTGTTCCCCAACCACAGGATTTTACATGTCGATTTTGGAAAGGCAGTAATATTACAGAAGATAATAATGTTTTTGGTTCATAATTAGCTATCAGAGGGTGCTTTTACCATCTTTGACAGAGTACATTTCGTTAAGTCAGGAGTTAGGTTTACAAAAAACGTATAATATGAATGATGACAAATGTAGTCATTTTTGATGGTCTGTCACTGGAGTTCCTTCCACTTGAACGGGTTTATGAGGAAATGGAGTTTTTAAAACAAACAAATATCCCTGAAGCGAATGAAATATTAAATTACTTCGACATTACATAATATGTAAATGGTTCGTGCAAGAGAGTTGGTGCTAGTATGGATATAAAATTAAGAAAAATTAAACTCTTATTTCTACCAAAACGTGGAATGTGTTTGAAGCCACTTTAAATAATGAACAAAGAACTAATAATATGATAAGTGAATTTTGGAACAATCACTTCAGTACTTCACACACTTGTTAAGACATAGTCATCCAACAATATGGGTGCTAATTCGCAAAATGAAACTCAAGGTTGGAGTCAATAGGGCAAAGATTGTAACAAGAGTAGCAAGGGATAATAAAAAAAAATAAATAGAAAACAATTCAAAACAACATCTGCAGGCTCCAAAAGTCCAAACATTATGCAAACGTATTAAAGTCTCCCTGCAGAGTTTTTAACTCAAGTTAGAAATAATATATATACAGCCAATAGGTTATCTTTACTTTTTAATCATCACAATAAATTTGATTTTCTAGAAACCAAAATAATATACCAGTGAAGAGTGAACGAAGAGAATAGTTTTTTGGACTAGGTACTATTTCCCGTACGATATTATTAATCATAGTGTATTTAGATTCTGAGCGGAGCAAGGAAGCTAGTGGTTTTACAATGGTGTTTATTTTTTTAATTTTTTATTTTTTCTATATCCTGTATACAACATTTCTACCAGAAGGAGTGCTTTGATTTCAACATATAGTACCTTATCTTTTAGCAAATTGGACCAAGATGGTACTTTAGAGAAGTCATTTTTCGATTTTCTCAATAGTTATTTAATGCCACGGGAAAAAGTACTGAAAAATTACGAAAAACCGCTTAAAATGGGATTTTAATTTCTAACAATTTGTTTATCACCGTAGCAACGAATAAAAAAATAATAATAAAATAAATAAAATAATTAATGACAATATAAAATATACAGACTGACAAACCGTCTCCGTTCAGAATCGTTTTTCTTATACAATGATATTATATCATTGAATTCAAGTTTAATACAATCCATTAAACAATGACCAACTTGTAACCTACTGTACAGCTAAGCAACATCCACTTACCTGCTTTTTTTTTTTATATTATAATTTATTGATTTATTATTGCGTTCAAATATAAATAATTCAATAAACCTGTAGCAGTATCTACTCAGGTACTTTTTCAATAATTGGGACCTATTAAATGGACGATGGTTTCATTTTTTTCAACTATTTGACCGTATAATATTATGCTTAAAATAAAGTTATGCATTTTTTTTACAACTATAACTGTATTTAAATGAAAGGTGCATTTTTACAGAACAGTAATAATATCAATGGGTATATTATTATAATGGCAAATGAGACACGAAACACTTGTTTTCATTTTAAAATACAAATCGGAAATCAACTGCACGTTGTAGGCATTACGAAACTGGTAGGTAACGTAAGTACATAAGCCATAATGTTTTCTCCCACCAACCACTACATACGAGGGTATCTTTAAAAATATAGTTATAAAAAAAAAATAATAATAATGTTTGTGTTTTTAAAAATGTTACGAACGGTTTATGTTGAATAAAAACAAACATTCGGACGTGGGCGTGGTTCTGGTCTATAAATGATCTGGCGAAGAGAAGTGGTGGCCAGAAGTATAAATACCGTGTGTTCAGCTTTGGATACGTTTCCTTCGACAGTTCAACAGTCAAGACGTGACCGTTAAGTATTTATTTTTTTTGTATTGAGATCGCTCCAACAGAGTGATAACAACTTGTTTTCCATTTTCATCTGTCAAAGTATTTTGAAAAATGAGCAAAATACCAGCCGTGGGTATAGATTTGGGTACCACTTACTCGTGTGTAGGGGTGTGGCAGCATGGAAAAGTGGAAATCATCGCCAACGACCAGGGAAATCGGACGACACCCAGCTACGTGGCGTTCACAGACTCCGAAAGGCTGATCGGAGATGCCGCCAAGAGTCAGGTACGCAAAAAAGCAAATGTTAACCGTCATTACGTTTAGGTATTACAAATAATTAGTAATATTACGATATCGATTAAAACGATCAAATACGACCCTCGTAATTTGTAAATACAGTTTCACCCAGTGTCGTGACTGGATAAATATCTGGGGGCGGGGGCAATAAAATTAAAATCCCGTCATAATCGCGATTTCAAGAATAAAATATTATACAAGAGAAACCTAAAATAAATATTAACTTTTATAAAGGAATTTGAGGAAAAAATATTTTAATATTATAATATTATATTAGAGCAATGTATAATGTATAATGTTTAACATTTTTTTTTCCGACATCCGATATTCCGATTTATATTGTCGATATAAAACCGATAGCCAATCCGATATTTTATTTCCATGAACTGATATAAAAAAAAACTTAAAAACCCGATATATTTTTCAAAAACCTATACCCGATATGAAAATCGATGTAAGTATGTAACCATATAAATCACGTGACATATCAAAACATAAAAGATTTCCCCAAGAAAAATTAACAATGGATTAATAAATAATATTTAATAAATTTAAATATTATTTTAGTTGAATAAGTGGACAAAAAAATAAAACAATATAATAGTAATACAAAATTATAAATATTAAAATAATCAAACTTGAAATTACTATACTGAGTAAAAAAATATTAAATCATTATAAATTAAAAATTAAAATATTTATACATTTAAAAGTTGAATTTAATGATACTATATTAATTAATAATTTTCTGGAATATTATCTTCATCAATTATTATTTATCAATAAAATCATAACCGCGGTAAGCAGGAAAAATAATTAAATAAACGAAATTTAATTTAAATCGTGTTTGCTATGTTTACCAGATTATTTTTTGTTTATATTATAATATGTTAAAAATATCATTATCGGTATAATCACCACAATTACATACAAATTGATATGCGACTGCATTATGTCGGTTTAATTATTGGTTTGAAGAAAAAACCGATAGTACCAATATCGGCCGATATTAATATCGTTTATCCGTATCAGCTCAGCTATAATTATGTTAACTGTCTTGTTAAGAATAAATTTATATGTGGATTATTTGGATGGCAAAATTATACTTTTGCCCCTCACAAACATTTCTAGGGGGCAAGTACCCCCTTGCTCTCCCACAATTACGCCACTGGTTTCACCCCTAAAAGTCTCTCTGTTCTCAACGAACCAATGAATTTGTGTTGCGATGTATACTACCTTAAAATTAGGTAACATTGATAATTTTTTACTGTTCTATGACAATTTTACTTTTTATTTCATGGATAACTTTTATAGTATTGATGATACAACTCTCAAAATTAAATATTAGTTACAGCTAGTTATGATCAATATTTTAACGTTTTAATTTTTAAATTCCTGATTTTATCTTTTGAGATATCAATCTTTTTAATATGCTATCAAATTTACACAACATAGTGGGAAATTTATATATCTATATTTCTTAATGTGATATCAACCCCATGTGTAACCCCATTTTATGAAAAAAAAATTAAATCATCATGGTGAAAAACAATATATGAGTATCAAAGTTGCTCCGCGAAATCAAAGTTACCCCATTCTACGGTATATTATATAGTTCATATAGGTAGCCGATATCTGAATCAATAGTTTAATTAATTTATTATGACTAAAATTATAATTTAGATTAAAGATTGAAAATTTTGAACAGTTAACATATTATTTATTTTACAACAATCAAATAAATAAATACTACTATAATAATAAATTAATCATTAAAACACCTATCATGTATATTATATCATTGAGTATATTATAATATTGCACAATATATACTCAATGATTATATTTAAATTTTAATTAGTATAATCAACATTTACAGACTTTCTGCGTAGTGAGTTTAGTAACCTATCATATTCATGATAGACTGTAATAGTGTAATTAAAGTACTTTTTTTATGTACATAAATCCTCATTGGTTCGATAATACGTTTTTAAAATTGCTGTACGTACCTAATTTTTCTTTTTAATAATATTAACGTGATGTATATTTTTCTTATTTTGTGGTACCTTACCTACACACATTTTGTTTACTTGACTTCGGACCATTTTTAAGAATACCTCCATGTACTTTATTTGCATCTAGAATTTCTCCGGCCTTTTTAATTTCTAAATAATAACAATAATATAAATATAAATATATATTTTGTATAATTATTAAGCTAGTTGTAGTGTAAAACAAAATATTTTATCCAAAAGCGTTATTATAGTTTTCGATAAAACGCGAGTGTTTTACCTTTAAACGTATCGCCTTTTTAAAATCCCGTTTAAAATTCGCTTACTTGTGTGTCACGTGTTCGCCCATCAAAACGTACTCGGACTCCGGCGGATCGCAAAGGCCCAAGTTGAAGTAAAATCGGTTGGCACAATGTAACGACCAAAATCCGACGTTGGAGTTGATCGACTCGATGAAATACGGTGTCACTTTGGTGTGATCCCTCGACAGTGTCTCTTTAAACCATACAATTCATTAGTATAATGGTATCATATTATGGGTACGAAAAAATGCATAAAACACAGTAAGACCTCCTAATAACGGACCCCCTTATAAGACAGAAAAATCATTTTGTACCGAGGGATTCCGTTATAAGGAGGTTTTACTGTATATTATTACGTAGGTAGGCGCATAATGTTATAGTAAGGAATAATTTTCGGTGCAACCCTAACGACTCCCGTCGAAAAATGTTTCCCCAACACGTAAATATTCACAAACGGATCCGGTATTCCACGACAAAAATTCTTTGAATAATTTACTATGCATAATATAAAATTTAAAAAAAAACCCCGAACCGTTTTCCATTTATGATTTATAATCAGTGGCGTCCGCAGGGGGGAGGCTAACGGGCTGCAGCCCCCCCCCCCTTGCCCGTTTAATTATTACTTTTTCAAAATATTAATCAAGTTTAAACTGTCAACTATAGTAAATCGCATATATGTCTTACCAGAATGAATTCATTTTTGAAAAAACATTATATTTGCATACCAATTTTCATAAATTATCTGTAATTTTTCGGTAAAAGTATGAACTACTTCAGTCTACTTGTATGAAAGACCTTGTATTAAATTGTCTAGCCTTAGATATACATATTTTATATTTTATAAGTTTGAGCTACAAATTAACCGTGGTTTTGACGAAATTTGAACTTTAAATACTTATAAAAAATAACCATGATGCGTATGTATTGTTAATATTTTAACTATAATAATAAAACTTACTAAATTTTTAAGCTTTTTGATCGGATAAATAATTTTTTATTGACATTTATAGAAAAAAAATTTTAATTAATCAAATACAATTCAAGTTAAAACGGTATAACCAAGCTTGTTAAAAAACAATTTAAATAAATTTTCATTTTTTTCTCCAATTATTTTTAAAAGCACTAAGAATTTTCAATTTCGACCTCCTAAAAGTACTAACTAGATCCAATTTGCCTCCAAAAACATACACTGGGCATGATCAGAGCATTTTTTCTACCAGAAGAGTTGAAAAGTTACAAACATTTTAAAATATCCCAAATAAACGTCTGCAATTATTAGACTGGACAAAATAAAAATTAAATTGTAACTAATTTTCAAGCCCCCCCCCCCCCATTGAAAATCCTGCAGAAGCCACTGTTTATAATAACTTTTTTTTATGTCAATTTTTATAATTAAAATAGTAGTTTGCCTATCTGATAATATACTGCTGCGAATCAGAATTATTATTATTATTCCGGGCAACGGAAAAGTTAAGATATATTTTGAACACCATACACTGAATATTAAATAACAAATTGAACATAGTTTGAGTCATATAGATTTGGTACATTTAACGGGTAACGAAGTCCACGGCCCACGGGATCAGCTAGTATTATAATATTAATTCGACTTACATAATATAATAAATAATAACAATATAAAATATCCAGACTGACAAACTGTCTCCGCTCAGAATCGTTTTTCTTATACAATGATATTATATCCTTGAATTCAAGTTTAATACAATCCATTATACAATGACTCTGCACTTGTAACCTACTCTATAGCAGAGCGACATACACTTACCCGATTTTTATATCATATACCTATACTTTATGTAGGTAGTACAAATAGTGTCCGCTTCCTACAATCTAATGTTTTACCTGACGTATACAAAGTGTCCGCGTTTCGCACTTTTAATGTTCGACCGTACAAAGTGACCTAGAAACGCTATCATAATAAGCCTATGAATAGTGGTGATTATTTTAATTACTATAATGACTCGATTACGCGTTTTATATCACTCATATTATATTATATAGTAATATTATTATCGCTTATATTATAGTCGTTAAACTCTGTTATATTAGGTATATAATAAATAAATAAAAAAAAAATGTTTTTGCCTAAATTATATGCGTTTTATAGAACGACACGATCATACAACTAAGCTACAAATAGACCTATATTTTTGAGGGTGCAAAAATTATAAAGAATTCCCAGACCCCCAGACTCACACTCACAGGCTATAACAGGAAGATCTGACAAAAAAAAAAATACGCTTCTTTAACTTATGACAAAAATTGTGAAGACAATATTTTGAAAAGTATTATTACATTTTAAATTAATTTACTCAAAAAAATATTGATACCTATTATAAAATAATCTAAAAAATTATCTACTTGACTTAAATAAATGTTTTTACCATTAAAATTATACTTATTATCAGATTTACAATCTGGCTATTTTTAATTTTTCCAATAATTTTAAATTAAATTAAAAATTTTCAGTAATAAAAAATAAATATGTTTTATTTGTATTATACGTCTAGCGCAAAAGACTAAATTACAGGGCTTGCATTTGAAAAAAAATTTCGTTTTACGTTATTTACAATTACAACGTTACACAATTTTTGCGTTCATCGTTATCCAGAATTAAAACATTACCCAATTATTGCGTTTATCGTTATTCAGAATTAAAATGTTTTCCAAGTTTTGCGTTTATCGTTATTCAGAATAAAAACGTTATTTTACCCAACATTTTCCAACAATCCAGTAAGTAATTTACTACTTAATTTTTTTCAACATCGTTACCAGAAAATTATAATTTATTATTTTATTAATATTTAATATTGTTATAAATGGTATTCTATATACCTAACACCTAAGAATTTTATATAATTACGTCAGAAATTTTAACTGAATAAGTTAATAAGCTAAAAACAAAAATAATTTACTACCTAGTTAAGTTAAAAAGTTAAAAATTAATGCCAAGTTAATGCCTACCTTTGCATTTTCAGTCCCGGGTTAGAAATTTTTCTACCCATGATTGAGTTATTTTTTATTTTGTTATTTATTTTTCATTTATTAGTACAGAGTACAGACCTACAGAGTAGACAAAGTACAGGGTGAATACAAAATAAGTCTATACTCTATACCTACTCTTACAGCGGAATTATCGGAGTATCATTAATCATTATTAATAATAATCTATATACAGTGTGATTCCTTTTAAAGGTAACACTAAATAATTCTGTCCAGTGACATCGGATTAATATGCGGTTTTCGGGAGGGGATAGGGAATACATAAATACACATTTCTTGATGATTTTTACATTTTTAGATCTTTCCGTGTGCGCATGCGCAATACAACTTGCATTTTTTTTAAATGGCAACATTTGTTTTGAATACCAAATTCGGACAGACCGAATTTTTTTAAGTCGATTTGATCCTTTTTACCATAGCTCTAAAATCAAAATTGACCAAAAGGCAACCAGTCAAAGTTTCGATTGAAATTATTGAATTTTTCAACAATCATACTAGAATTTTTTGAATTATTATACAATTTTAAGTATTTTTTTTGATTACGTAGGTTTGCAGATATTATTAAATCATTTTAATTTAATTTTGAGGAATTAATTAACCTCAATTAAGCAATTTAAGCAATTAAGCATTTAAGCAACGAAATTGGAATTTCTTATAAAAAAGTTCATAAAATTTTGAAAAAAAATAAATTGCACCCGTATAGGCCTGATTTAGTACAAAAGTTGGTACCAGGTGATTATAATCGTAGACTTACATTTATTGCATGGTTTATGATACAATTACACGACGAACCCGATTTTCTACGATTTATCTGTTGGACCGACGAATCGAAGTTTACCAACAACGGTATAATTAATAAACAAAATAACCGGTATTGGGCTGATCACAATCCATATTGGACGACTGATACAAATCACCAAACAGTTTGGGGAACTAACATTTGGTGTGGGCTACTAGATGGGAGACTTCTCGGGCCATATTTTTATGATGGTACACTTACTGGGAGAAGATACTTGAAGTTTTTAACTGATGTTTTACCTACATACATGGACGATATTCCATTAGAGTCTAGAACTAATTTATTTTTTCAACAAGATGGAGCACCTGCACACAATGCAATTGTTGTAAGAGAGTATTTACAAAATAAATTTGGCAATCGATGGATGGGTACATATGGTGCAGTAGCTTGGCCACCAAGATCTCCAGATCTCACAACATTAGATTTTTTTCTGTGGGGACATTTGAAGAATGAAGTTTATTCAACTCCACGTTTAAGTATTCAAGATCTAAAAAATAAAATTGTAATTGCTTGCGCAGAACTTAAAAAGGAACAGATATTATCAGCTACTCAAAGAGAAGTGATTCGTCGATTTCAATCATGCATGGAGAATGATGGGCAAAATTTTGAACAATTTATTAGATAGTTATTAGAAATTTGTTTATCCAAATAAATAATAGAAATGATTAAAATTATAAAAATATTGTGTTAATTATTTTAATCGTTTCTTACCTAGTAATTAGTAAATGAACCAACATTTACGTCTAATTGAGATTAATTAATTCCTCAAAATTAAATTAAAATGATTTAATAATATCTGCAAACCTACGTAAACAAAAAAATACTTAAAATTGTATAATAATTCAAAAAATTCTAGTATGATTGTTGAAAAATTCAATAATTTCAATCGAAACTTTGACTGGTTGCCATTTGGTCAATTTTGATTTTAGAGCTATGGTAAAAAGGATCAAATCGACTTAAAAAAATTCGGTCTGTCCGAATTTGGTATTCAAAACACCTGTTGCCATTTAAAAAAATGCAAGTTGTATTGCGCATGCCCACACGGAAAGATCTAAAAATGTAAAAATCATCAAGAAATGTGTATTTATGTATTCCCTATCCCCTCCCGAAAACCGCATATTAATCCGATGTCACTGGACAGAATTATTTAGTGTTACCTTTAAAAGGAATCACACTGTATATAAAAATGGAGACAAAAAATTCGAAATTGCATCAGTTGAGAAGGGCTTGGCCGATTTTGCTCAAATTTTTTTTAAGATATTCGTAATTGCCAGGTAAAGGTTTTTACGAAAGAAAATTTTTAAAAAGTCAACCAAATAATTAGAAAAACTTCAAAAGCTATTTATTTATGTCTGGGATTTGAACTTGGTACCGTTGTCTTTATTTACTCTATTGTGTATTATATTATATTGGTTGCTATTGGTTAATCGGGCATGTTTGTTGATTTGTATTATTATTTTTTGTAAATACATCTTATATATAAATGAATGACGGTGTGTAGATTAGACTTATGGGAAGAAGATACGCTAATTTAAAAATGGTTAAATTTGGTTTTTTTTATTCATCGGATTTTAGTACGGTTAGGTTAGGTTAGGATTTATAGGTAAGTTTAATTAAGTAAAAACGTCAAACTTGGTATAACTTTGGTACTTTTTGAGTTAAATCATACACTTACGTACAAACAGCACGTGGTCCGCGATCTACCGTAGGTAAATCACCTATCTGATAATGTACAATGAAGCAGTCTGATACCGAAGTTAATATATACAGCAATAATCATGCATCCACGTCACAAAATGTTGCTCATAATCACCTCTCTCAGAATAGCACAAACCCACCTGTCTTCAGTAATATCAACAAGCAGTCCTACGCAGAGATAACAAAAACAAATACCTACGAACATCGGCAACCACCTCCCTCCCAACCAAATATCCAAAGCGAGCTTCTGCAGTTACTAATGCCCACCATAAATTCACTATTACAAGAAATTATAATAAAAGTCATCGAATATATCCCAACGTTATTAAGTCAAGCAAATGGCAGTCAACTTCAATAATATTAATAATGCTAATTTAGTTATCATAAATTGGAATGCCAATGGCCTTAAACAAAACAGAAATACTTTTGCTGCATTTTTGAACTCTCACAATGTAGATATAGCCTGCATCAGCGAGACGCATTTAATTAACGCAGATAAAATAAAATTTAATGGCTATGTCACTTATCGCAAAGACAGATTAGCAGTTCGACCTTCAGGCGGCGTAGCTATTATAATTAAATCTAAAATAAAACACCACCACACATTTATACCTGTTCTGCAATCATTGGAAGCAGTGGCAATTACTATATCTATAAACAATGTAATTACAACTCTAATTAGCGCCTATCAATCTCCAAGTTTTAAAATGTTCACAAGTGATTTCGATAAAATTCTTTGCAGTTTTCAAAAAGTAATGATTATTGGTGACCTGAACTCCAAACACACCACTTGGAACTGCAAAATGACAAATCAAAATGGTCGTAAATTACATAAATACATTTCAAATACTTCAGCAATTATATCTGCACCTGACTCCCCGACGTATTATCCATATGACCAAAATAGAAATCCTGACATATTAGACGTAATATTATTAAAATCAATACCTCTATCAATTCATCAAGAGCCCTTATTTGAACTTGACTCAGACCACCTGCCTGTTAAAATTACAATAGGGGGCGCCCCAAGTGTACCTACAAAATCACGTAAACTTATAAACGGCAAACCAAACTGGGAAAAATTTAAAATCTATATAACTCACAATATAAAAATCCCCAAAAACATAAATAACTCTTCTGCAGCCGACGAAGCCACAAACCATTTCCAGGAAATTATTCATCTAGCAGCGGAACACTGTTCAAACCCGTCGTGTAACATATCTCAAAATAATACTTTTTCTCAAATACCTACTTCAATTCTAAAATTGATAAAAATAAAACACCGTACCAGAAGATTGTGGCAGCTCCATAGGCGAACTGAATACCGGAAAAATCTTAATTATCTTACCAAAAAAGTCAAAATTTTACTCGAAGAACTAAGAATAGCTTCATACCAAAATTATTTATCTACGATTCATCCTTCGGACTCAAACCTGTGGCTCGCTACCAAACGTTTAATCAAGCCAAACGCTAGTGTTATGCCCCCGTTAAAATCTGATAACGTCTACCTAAACTCAAATTCTGAAAAATGCGAACTCTTTGCCAAAACCCTTGAAAATACTTTTTCACCGAACAATATTGTTGACACCGAAATAGAAACCGCGGTGCACAACAAACTAGTGGAACCAGATATTCATCCACAAAACATACTTCCCTACACCACTCCTACTGAAATTAATGAAATAATAAAAAGATTACCAAACAAAAAATCTCCAGGACACGATCTCATCACAAATGCTATATTAAAAAAAATCCCAAAAAAAGCAATCACATATTTATCTACTTTATTCAATTCATTAATGAAAATCGGCCACTTTCCAACTGAATGGAAAAAAGCCACAATTATAATGATAAAAAAACCTGGAAAAGATAACAAAAAACCCAACAGTTACCGACCCATTAGTCTACTATCTTCAGTCTCCAAAATATTTGAAAAAATCATATACACCAGGCTAACAAAACATCTAGACGCAACTGAAGCCATTCCACATCATCAATTTGGTTTTAAACCACTGCACTCAACTACTCAACAACTCCTCCGCCTAACTGAACACATAAATAATGGTTTTGAAAAAAAACTTCACACCGGTGCAGCCTTCTTAGATATTGCGCAAGCATTTGATCGTGTCTGGCACGACGGCCTACTATTCAAACTAAAAACATTAAATACCCATCCTACCATCTTTAATATAATTAAATCCTTCCTCTCTGAGCGTTGTTTTGTAGTTCGCATAAATGACACCAGTTCTGCAATAAGAAAAATAACTGCCGGTGTTCCCCAAGGATCCAAAATCTCTCCCCTGCTTTTTAATTTATACATCGCGGACTTTCCCACAACATCTAACACAGAAGTTTCCCTATATGCTGACGACAGTGTTGTCTATTCAAGCTCCAGCGATGTCCACATTATCACTGAAAATATACAGAGCCACTTTAACAAAATAAAATGCTGGGCGAAAAAATGGAAAATTATCCTAAACCCCTCAAAAAGTACGGCAGTATTATTTACACTTCGTCGTCCCAATAACCCTCCCTCTCTAGTACTTAATGGCGACATCATATCATGGTCTCTAACAATAAAATATCTAGGAGTTATCTTAGACAAAAAATTAACCTGGAACCCTCACATTTCTTCGAAACTTCAACAAGGCTACCAACGACTTAAAATTCTTTATCCCTTAATCAACCGTCAAACCGCCCTAAGCTGGAAGTGCTCCATGCTTCTTTAAAAGCAAATTCTTCGACCATTAATACTCTATGCTGCCCCTATCTGGGGACACTGTGCCAAAACTCACATAAATAAAATTCAAGTCTTCCAGTCCAAGATTTTACGCATAATATCCAACGCGCCGTGGTTCGTCAGAAACGAAGCACTTCATACAGACTTCAGACTCCCGATGGTTAAATCCTACATACAGAATCTCTCAGTCAACTTCTTTGGCCAACTAAACAACGCCAAAAGTGCAAAATATTTCAAACTCAACGACAAGCCTACCCTCCGAAGTCTCAAGCGCGGACGTCCTCATGATGCCCTTTCTCAACGTCAATAATATATGTATATACTTTTAAGAAAAAAATTTTACACCTAGGTAGTTTAACTAATTATTACAACGTCACATTTTTTTTTTTTTTATTATCTAGCTACTCATCTTTGTAAATAACCAATTTATTGTATTTACTTATTTATTTATAACTACTTTTGCATGTTAAAAATTCTATTCTATCAATAAGTTAGATGACCTCGTTGTCAGTAACACTTTATTAAAATAAAAAAAATAAAAATAATGTACTGCTGCAATTCAGAATTTTTATTCCGGGCAACAGAAAAGTTAAGATAAATCTAGAACATCATACACCGAATATTAAATAACGCATTGAACAATGTTTGAGTCATATAGAGTTGGTATATTTAACGGGAAACGAAGTGCACGGGATCAGCTAGTTATTACTATTATACTAGGTACCTATTTGCCATTTAAAAGTTATCATAATAACTCCAAAAAATTTGCGGGTAGGTAATGTCCCAGATACGGAATATAATATAATCAATTCTTAGATTTTTTCTAAGACAAAAATAAATAGCACGAAATAAAATATATTTTTACGAAACCAATATACCTTACTTTTGAATAATTTTAAATTTTCAAATAATTTTTGTAACGAGACAAATATTGATCGTATATTATTGATTTATGGAACAGCGAGCGCCATCTAGCGCAGCCTGAACGCGCGACCCAAAGTCAATTCTGAACAGACCGGTCAACAACAAACATCGCTTTTCCAACTTAAATACGTGAAAAAACAGCGTAGAAGCGTACTAGATGTAATTCTAAGTTACAGAATAGTGAAGAAGACTCATTTGATACCAGTGGCGGTCAAATGACTTTGTCATGGGGGGGGGGGGGGGGTATATTAAGAATAACTGTA